ATAAAATGAGTTACCAAAGTAAGTTAAATTATTTAATTATGTACATAATTACATTCATTAGTTTACAGCGTGTTCTTAATATGAATATAAACAGTGTTTTCATCATAATATTTTAACAAAAAGCTTAAAACATGAATGAAATTTTTATATACAAAATTATGATGAAAATCGTTGCTATTATGTGTCCTTTCAAATGAATGTTTAAAGGGGGAATTTCATTAATAACAATTAAGTCATAAATCAGGCTCTTGTTTCTCTTCAAAAGAAAATGACGCGATGTTCTCTTTTCTTCTTATTAATGCAAATATACTTAATAAAAAAATATTTAAAATAATTACTGTAACAATTTTAAAAAATTAGTATGAAACCTAGAAAACAAATTATCAATAATTTATTTTTTATATTTTTATACCTGATTTGCAGCTGTGCTATTTATAATTGAATGTGCATAATGTTATAAGTTACACAAAGAGAAATTTAACAAATATTACATTTAAACAAATCAAGAAATTTATGTTTGATGATAAAAAGCCAGGTTTGCTATAAACTGGATTTTTATTAACGAACATATCAATTTCGGAATTTGTTTACAGATGTAACATTTCTTAAATTTTTATTTGAGTGGCTTATTACCTTATGCACACAACATAATAAGTATTATAAGTATATTATTAGTCTGTTCAATAAATAAAGAAATAAATATTAATGAGATATTTGTTCACAGGTGTTCAGTGTTTAAATATTGTAAGAGTTTCGTCATCTGAAAATGACTTTATTTTTGTGTATGCTTATGAGGTGCGTATAGCGGGAAATTAAAATCTATGTCTCAGATAAAATAAGAATCAATAATGCTCAAATAAAATGTAAACTTAATTTGTTTGTTAGAAAATCTAGAAATGTTGATATAACGAATACTTAACAAGCACATTAAGATTACTTATTATTATCTTACTGCAATTTTTCTTTATTTTTTAAATAATATTAAGCTTATTGTAATAAGGATGGCATGAAAAGTTGACAGAACAGACATTCAATTTTTGTTAATTTCTGACACACGTCTTTATGTTTATGGAGACATGACTTACGAAACAAAAACAACGAACTTGAAAGTATTTAACGTAGTAATTACAATTTTATATTATTTGGAAACCTAATGCACGTATGTTATATTTTTGCAATTGCTTTATGAAGTTTCAGTTTTTGGTCCCGTGCAGAATCTTTAGCTATTCTTGACAACAGTAAAAAGTCATTATAATTTATATATATTTCAACATTTTTTATGAAGATATGTTATAAAATAAATTCACAAAATACTACTATACATTGTGAAATTATAAATTTAAAAACACAATTAAAAACATGTTTAAATTACTTACTGAATTTAAATCAATTTTCATGTAAACTTTAAACCTTTAATCAAGATAAAAAAATCAATTAACAATAGTGTTTCAATACCTGAAACGTATAAATATTTTTAACTGTTTTAATTAAATGCTCGAAAATTAAACAGGGACAAAACAAAACAGCAATTATGTTTCTGTGTAAGCTACTGTAATTTCGTACATCGCGGCACAAAAAAGAATCTGAATGTTGTATAAAGCTACTATACTCAGTGTAATGATAAATGAGAACTTGAAAAAAAATTGCGCTAAAAAAAAGCAAAATACATATCCGTATATGAAAGAGCATCTGTTATTATGTGACACTTGAGAAATACATAATTTTTATTTACTATTAGAAACTATGTTGGTAGCTTGAGAAAATTTTAGTGTTCATACAAACGCATTTGGATTGACACTCCGATTCTACTCAGAAGCTGCAATCAATTTTCATAATAGGAAAAATGTATTAATTTTAAATTCTGAGTATTCAAATTGTTATTTAATCTTGATAAATATAATAATTACCAATATATTAACTAAATGACGTGAGCAATTATAATAACCTGACAAATCATTAATACACATTGTGCCTTTCATTCATTTTCATTTTTCAAAATTCAGATGTTAGACACTCTGAATAAAAATTTTCTGTGATATGTTTAGTTATCATTTTTACAATGAAATTTTAAAATTACTTTTACAAAACTTAAATGACAAAAATTGAATAACAGAAATTGTAAAAATTAATAATACTAGAAGAAAATAATATATTTTTTCTTAGTATTAGTAAAAAATATTCAGTCATTTTATAAGAGATCAAATTCAAACTATTGACGATAATTTACAATTCATTCTTCTCACCTCGAATATGCACGAGCGTTTCGAAATAATCGTGGTGTGTGGTTTTATAAACAGTTGAATCTTCATTAGGTC